AGGACTTTTATTACCACATATAACTGGAAGTCCAGAGACAGGTCGATTGGGTGGCTCAAAGATGTCACTCTGCCATCTTTGGTACTGCTTTTATGTGTAGGCACAAAGGCACATGTGAGCAGTGCTAGATTTGCTAGATGCCTCAGCTGCACACAAAAATACCTGGAGGAAGAAGAGAGATTCTTTCAGCGCTCTCTCTTAGAAGTGAGAAGATTTTTCTGAATTCCCTCGGCAGGAATTCTCCAGTCTCAGAGCCATGGCGCGTTCACAAGTTCACTCCAGAACCAGCTCCTAGTCAGGGGCGTGGGATTCCTCTTAGACCACAGAGGCTCCTCCTAAAGCTGGGGTGGGGTGAGCTTCCCTCAAGAACCCAGATGTGTGGGGGTGGGGTAGATACTGATTAAAATGGCAGTTCTGTCTGGAAGGAGGGATAGCAATGGGTCCTGGATAGCTCATTAATTTTGCTCATTTTTAGGGGGTACAGCTTTAAGTTCTGCACTGTAAATAAGTATGTACTTAATAAGTGGTGATAACAGTGGTAATAACAGTAATGATGTGAAGATTGAGAATCTCTACCATTTTTTGTGTGCATTTTATGTACACTGTGCTAAGCTTATTACATATATCATATTTAATTCTTACAACTCTTTCCTACATATGAATGTCATTTGCTTCTTCCATCTTCTCAAAATATACTCTGAAGCTCTATGGGGACAGTGAATTTGAAAAGGGGTTTGAAGGCAGAAAGGAAGCGTATGCTCCAGTTGAAGCAGGGGTCTTGGGTGAAGTTCCCAGCAAGTGACCTAAGGGAGCAGCTGAAGGCCAAGGGGCCAGGAAGGACAAGGAGCATGGTTAGGTGAAGTGGGTTATGGGGTAGCTGGTGGAGGGTCTTGTAGGTCCTGCTGGGGACTGATACGTGATAGAAGAACTATTTTTGAGCCAAATTGCTCAGATCCCCAAAGTCTTCGTAGGAGCTGATCTCTGATAGATTAGAAGTCAAAATATTATCTCATATTAGTGACTTAAGCCACAGGTTGTTTGGACATTCCCATTTACACAGATGAGAACGCAGAGGCAGTTATCCACATGCTGACCGACAGGGGCCTGAGGGGAGAAGCTCTCCCACCCAGCTTCGAGGGATGCTCACATAGAGTGGCCCCCAGCTTCTTCCCCTTTACACATCCTGTGCAAGCACCTGCAAAGAGACGTGAAGCCAAAGCAGTTGTGGAATGGAAGGAACATAGTATTCTGGCATTTCCAAATTAAAGTGGAGAAAATAAAGAGAAATTCCAGAATGGGGAAGAATGGAGGGGAGTGCTACAGTGGGAGGAGCATGGTTTTTGGAAGGAGAAAAATTCAAATTTAAATTTGGATTACCAAGTAAATCCACAAATGCTCTGATTCTCAGTTTCCTGGGCTCCATACAGTCTGGAAAGTCATAAAGAAAGATTCAAAGAGCGGTTGAGATCTGGAGTGGGATATATGGGCACGTCCTGGAAAAGTAGGGATTTGAACTGCTTCTCCCCTACATCCCAGACTCTTAGCACTGGAAGAGAGGTGCAGAGGTCAGCCTGCCTGGTGGTGTGATGTGGGCCGTGGACAATGTCCGTTTATTCACCATTCATTCACAAAATATTTATTGAAGTTCTCCTAGATAAACCATGGTTTTCTTTGTAGCATCAACTTTATAAAACTCAGAAATCTTTTTTTAAGGCGCTGATAATAATATTACCCACTTCATAGGTTATTGTGAGCATTAAATAAATCCATGGAAATTGCTTACACAGTGTCTTGCCTGTTGTGTGTGCTAAAAAATGGTAATTATTATTTTACGCTTTCTAAACACTTTTTCAGGGGTTAAATGCAGAAATTAATCTTTTCCTTTCACAGCCATCTGTTTCGTAGAATAACCTTCCACTTAGATAAGTTCACCAGGGTACACTCATGATTAATTCTGCATCTCATTTTGTTTTGATTTTACCCAGCGCATTGTTAACATGAAATAAATATTTATTACAATCAAAATATTTAAATAGCACTGCTTTTGTGCTCTGTCCACTTTTCCATGAATCTATTCTGGTATACTTTTTCATCAGACCTCAGCTGGAGAAGTACATTCACTGTGCTACCATATTTCAATTATCAGAGGTTCCGTATTTTATTTTTCTTTTGTGCCCCAAAGAAGATGGTTTCTGAGGTACCAGAGATTTAAAAAAATAAAAGAAGGCTAAAATGACAATCTTATAATGTAGACAGTAGGGTGAAATGAGGGGAAGGACTCATTCATAGGAAACACAGAACATTGAGTCGATTGGCCCCAAATCAAGGGCACCGAGTCATCCCGGAGGTGTCTCAGGGCTTTGCTGTCATTTTGCCGAGGCCACTCTGGTAGATTGTATTAAGCTTGTCTGCGTGGTAATTGCAAGAAGGGTTGACTCATCGAATTTAAATGTGACTTTGACAGAGGGCTTCTTCCCTGGCCTTCATTACGAACGGACTTATTTATGAGCGTTTTCCCATCACCTGGCTGTAGCTTCCTGGGCAACAGCGAATGCAGAACAGCATGCTTGCAGGGACGAACCATTTGAAGGAGACAAGGAAGATAGTGTGCAGAGCATTCCCAAGAGCATGGAGCCTGATCCAGCGGCCTAATGCAGAATTAGATGCAGGTACATAAAAGCACTGCTGAGCCCGGCTCAGCCTTCTCTGCCTCCCCAGGATTACTTTAGGGAGCTCAGCAAAAATGCCAACCCACAAACTACTTCTTCCCACTGTGGTCAAATAAAAGTCATCTTGTAATGATGGTTTTTCCTGTATACAGAGCACTTTACTGGGCCCATGGGAAGACGCAAAGGGAACAGATACTGCTCTGCCCCCGGGACTCCAGATGGGCAATCCGGTCCTCCTGAGCCAACTTGTCCTTATTCTTTGGCGGCTATAGGCCTTCTGAACAAGAGATGAATGACACATACACAGAGAAAAACCACAGTGACAGCACGTACAGGCGAGCTTGAGGAGGGTTGTCACTTTTGTGTAAACTAAAGGACACACACAAGACTTGTTTCTGGAATGACATGAAAGACGCTGTTGAGGACAGTTACTTTCAAGAAAAGTGACTGGGGATAGGGGATGGGAGTTCTTTTCTTTTTATTTGCACTTTCCTATATGGTTGGAATATTTTTTTTCTAATTTGGTCGTACCCTTGAGTATTTTTATTGGTGGGATTATGGGGTCTTTTATTGTCTTCATACTTTTTATATTTAAAAATAGTTAAAAATGTTATTTTGCAATATGAGACAAAAAGATAATAAATATTGATGAGGATGTGGAGAAATTAGGACCCTCATACAATGCTGATGGGAATGTAAAATGATGGAGACACTTTGGAAGACAGTTTAAAAATTTCTAAAATGTTAAATATAGAGTTACCATATGAATCCAAAATTCTACTCCCAGGATATGCCCAAGGGAAATAAAAACACATGTCCACACAAGAAATGATTCCTGAATGTTCATAGCAACATTTCTCCCAGTAGCTAAAGGGGGAAACAATGCAAGTACTCATCAACTGATAAATGGATACACAAAATGGAACCTGGAATATTATCAGGTCATAAAAAGGAATGAAATAGGGGGCCACCCCGTGGCTGAGTAGTTAAAGTTCCATGCCCTCTGCTTCAGTGCCCTGGGTTCACGGGTTCAGATCCCGGGCACAGACCTACTCCACTGATCAACCATGCTGTGGCAGGCATCCCACATACAAAGTTGAGGAAGATTGGCACAGATGTTAGCTCAGGGACAATCTTCCTCAAGCGAAAAAAGAGGAAGATTGGCAATGGATGTTAGCTCAGGGCGAATCTTCCTCACCAAAAAAAAAGAAAAAAAAGAATGAAGTGCTCATACATGCTACAACAACATGAATGAACCGTGAAAACATGCTAACAAAAGAACTCAGTCACAAAAGGTCACATATTGTATGATTTCATTCATATGAGATATACCAGAACAGGCAAATCTATAGAGACAGACAGTAGATTAATGGATGTCAGGGGCTGGGGATAGGAGGAAATGGGGTGTCACTTCTAATGGAGTTTGTTTTGTGCTGATGAAAATGTTTTAAAATTGAGTATAGTGATGGTTGCACAACTCTGAATATACTGAAAACCACTGAATTGTACACTTTGAATGGGTGATTGTGTGAAATGTGAGTCATATCTCAATAAAGCTGTTAAATTATGACAACCAAAAGCTACGTTTCTGAATAAAGTAGTGTTATAGCTGCCACTGGATTTGTGATTTTTCTTTGTGGCATTTTTATTCCTTGGTCAAGTACCTTTCCTCAAGAGGAGAAATGAGGTATGGGTGTTTTAACAGGAAATCTGAAGTCTGTGGGTTTCCTAATGATCGAAAGGTAAAGTCAATGCAAAGCGACTATCCTTAGTTATTGTGAAGCTTTTCTCATCCCTGTGAACCATGAGGAGTCAGGGAGGAAAGAAAGAGTTGCTGACAGAGGCCGAGTCTGCTCGCCCTCAAAGGCCTGCTTGGTCAGGAATTCCTACACTAGGGGACGAATGTGTTCTGGTTAAAATCCAGCCATTCTCTGGGAATTTTCTAGGCTCCTTTAAATCTGGTTAAATTATGTCATAGTCTGGTGTGACTCACACAGCAAATGTTCCCTGAGCTCCTGATCTGTGCCAGGCCCTTTGTCCTGGACAAGGACAAGGGAATTTTTTGGATAAAAGTCTGACTTTGATAAGGTCTAGGTAGGACAACCACCCATTAAGGTGACTGGTAACAGGAAACAGCTCTCCCAATAATCACCCTGTCACCTCAGGGCCACTTCCTGGGTGTGCCCTTTGCCATTGTGAGGAAATAGTGGCTGGTGGACACTGGGTCGGTCTCCTCCCCTCCCCCTACCCTCCATACACACACTCACATCCACGTCCCTAATGTTTACCCCACAGAGGACAATATGACCAAGTAATTATGAGGGTAAGAGAGCAGATGCTTTAGAAAACTAACCTCACAGGTGTTTTTGGCCCATGTGAAATAAGCTCCATGTTCTGAGAGGGCTGTGCTTATGTGCTGCTGAGGGGATAAATTAACTGACTGGGCACTTACTAAGAACACTTGGTAAACAGGAAGCAGTGGCTATTATAATCCAAACCCTTATTCCAATATTGAGATTAAAAGACAAGATTTCACAGGTCCAGTTCGTTTTATCAAATATCACTGAAGCCCATTCTTTATGCTACCACCATAAGTCTCTTTACAATCAGCCCTTTGCATCAGCTCTCTGCTCCATCCCTTTCCAACCACTTTGCTTGAAATGAGAGACTTCACTTGACTTGGCCATTTCTTGTCAACCTGACTGGGCTACTCGGGAGTGTTGGGGAAGGTGGCTTATGTCTCTGTGCAATGTCTTCCGTCCCTTTCACATCAGCAAGGGTGGAAAAGCAATACTTATTGGAAAAAGTGGGAAGAGAAGAGGTTGGTAAGTGTCAAAACTACCTAATTTCTGCTCCCCCGGCCTGTGGCTGTCGCGCTAAGGTTTGCTCAGACTTTTATTAAATAAAAGCTAGCCTTCAGCTCTCAGGAGGTAGAAGCGTGGTGTGGTGTAAGACACAAAAGCACACTGCCTGCTCACAGCACAAAACTCTGAGCAAGTAGAATTTCCAAGGGAGAACCAGGAATCAGGACCGATGGAAAATGACTGAAGGAGATTGAGAATATTCCAAGAGCCAAAATTTAAAGCCAGAAAGGTAGAAATAATTTAGTCCTTGCTTCAGAAGTGAGAAAGTTGAGTTCCCTAGAGATTAAATGTTTTGCCAACAGCTAATATCCTGGTCTGAATATTCTGAGTGAAGGAGAGGGTGGAAGACACTAACGTTCTCTTAGAAAGTGCAGGCTTCCTCCTGAACTGCCACTGTGATTCTCAGGTTCAACTTCTGGTTTCCTATTGTTTCTCCTGTTCCCAGACCATGTAAATAAGTTTCCTGCTGGTTGGTGAAATAGAGTACTCTAATTTCAATTCCTAACATGAAAGGGAGTTCATTTTGCTGAACTTGAAGATTCAATAAGATAATGTTTCAATACATGAGGCTGAAGTCAAGATGCTGTTTCCGGTCGTCTTCCAGCTGCTTTGGGTTTTCCTTAGATTTGCCCCGAGATGAAATTCTGTTGCCCTGGAAAGTGACAGAATGAAGGAATCTTAGCGCTTCTTAGATCCCTAAGTGGTCAGTGACCAGCAGATCATCATCCTTATTGGCTCTGAAAGTGTGAATTTTATCTCTCAGTCTTATAGTTTTTATGAATTCTAAGATATTTGTCTTATTTTAAAATTCCCTTGCTTGTGGGTTGATTAGACATGGGCAGCAACCGCTCCCCACCCCCCAGCTTGCTAACACTGAGGAGGAAGCAGTCTAACAGGACCTACAGTCACAAACTCACAGAGCATCAGAAACGAGCGCAATGACACAAAGGGGACAGAAGACAGCCATGGGCCGCTGTAGTTTGGACCAGGTCTAACCTAAGGAGGAGGAGTTGACACTGGATTACAGCAGGTCTTACCTCTGGCGATAGGCGCCTATCCTTAAGGGATTTCGAACAACTAGACCTCTTTTACGTAGCCGGAATGAATGTAAAAATGGTGGAAATACTTTGGAAAATAGCTTGGCAGTTGCTTATGAAGTTAAACATACGCTTGCCCTTTAACTGAATAATTCTACCCCTTGATAGCCAAGATATGGCACCTCCACAAAAAAACTTAATGCTGGTATTACTTATCTATCGTGGCTTTAAAAAAATCACCCCCAAATGCAGTGGCTTTGTTACTATTAGTGCCATCAAGTCGACTGACTCCTAATGACCTTAGTCTGGAAGTTCTGTAGTGTCTTACAACAACAACAATTTTTCTCATGGCAGTGGTAGGGCAGGTATTCAGAAGGGGCTCAGCTGGGTGGTTCTAGTGTAGAGTCTTTTATATGGTTGCAGTCAAATATGGATTGGCAGATCCCCTTCCAAGGAGGCTCGCTCACTCAGCTGTTGGCTCAGGGGCCTCAGTCGCTCTCTCCAGGACTGCTTCAGCATTCTCACCCTGACATAACAGCTGGTTTCTCCAGAGCAAGTGATCCAAGGGCCAAAGCAGAAGCTGTGCAATCTTATACAACGTAGGCCCAGTCACATCATCACTTTTCCTGTGTTCTATTGTCCCAGGGCCAGTTCACTTCAAAGTAGGAGAAGATTACGTAGGTTGTTATATACTAGGAAGGAGGCTGGCTACCAGTGTTCATAGCAACTTTGTTACCAATAACCCCAAACTGGAAACTCAGATGTCCATTACTATGAGAACTGATGAGACATTAATTTAATATTGTACATAAAAGAACAAACTTTTGACACATGCAATATAGACAGATCGCAGACACTAGATCAAAAAGGCCAAACACAGAAGAGTATATATGATTCCATTTATCCGAAGTGCAAGAACAACTAATCTGTATATATAGTTCCATTTATCCGAAGTGCAAGAACAAGTACAACTCATCTGTGATGATAGAACTCAGAACAGTTATCACCTCTAGGAGGTGTTGACTGGGAATAAGAGTGAAGAAACATTCTGGGGATGCTTCATATATTCTATCCTTGACCAGGGTGGTGGTTAGACAGGTATATACATATATAAAAGTTCAGCAAGTACATATAACATTAGTAAAACTTATACACTTCATTGTATGTGTATAATGACTCAATGAGAAAGTGAAAGAATTATCTGAAGCTGTTGAACATCTGATCCCTTTGTCATATGACCAGCCGATTTACCCTCTTCCATCCTGGCAGTGGATGGGTTGACCTGGGACCAGTGATTCCTGGAATTTAGGGATGTTAGGCACTCTGAAAGACAGTTTAGTGTTAAACTCTCTTCCAGTGTTACTTTGAACAAGTAGATCCATCAAAATGGGGATGAAATATGAGAACCGGTAATTTTTGGTCCAATGTTGGAGCTTTTGAGTCTTCACAACCATACAGAGCTTCCAATTGGCTTTGGTACCTTCTCATGTGAATGGACAAGATTGATATTTGAAGACATAATAATAAAGAAAAAAGTTCTGAGAAGACAAAGCAGGGGAAGCAAGATTTGTATTTGAATGAAGAGTCATAATATACAATATTTCTGTAAATCTCAAGAAGTCGTAAGTTAAAACTAAAGAAAAATCAAGGAAGTGAGAAGAGAATTTAAGAGGATTTCATCTGGAAATGAGTCAGGGGAATGGAATCATCAGAAAGCTTCCTGAGAGCTTATTTTGGTGATGCACTCATGCTTAGCTTGGGGGTAGGCCCATATGTTCCTTTCCTTGTGTTTTTTCTTACATATATCATCTTGACATTCATAAATAAACCCCATAGGGGAGTAAAAACTTTAGTTATTCTTATCCTCCTGAGAGTGCATCTAAGTGATAGGAAACTGCAAGGAGGACAGAATAAGAAAGTACTATGGAAAATATATTTTTAAAAAATAAGACTTTGAAGAACTATAAACCCAAAGATATGCAAATGGTAAAAAACAATATTAACTAGGTAGTTTAATAGCCAAATAAGAATTCCAGGAAAACAAGGCAGAAGGGAATAAATCAGAAATAAGAACTTTTCCCCAAGTTGAAAGCCAGGTACCTCCTGGACTGAAATTCTTTTCCATCAGTAAAGCACAAATAAAAGACCCAAGAACGCTTAGAACAATGATAGAGAATATTCTAAGTTCCAAAGCAGATGAAACATCCAAGGACAGGACACTATATGCAGGATCAGAAATCAGAATGACAGGCTGCAACACTGAAAGCTGGAAGTCAATAGAGCAATATCTTCAAATTAGAGACTAGGCAACTCCACACCTGTAATTTGGTGCCTAGCTAAACTGTCAAGAGCCAGTGGGCGGCAGGGGAGAAAGATCATCTCAGATATACAAGTCCTCAAAGTTTGCCTGGTGCATCCTTCTTTCTCAAATTGATACAAAATGGTATGTGCCACTAGAGCCAGGTAATGAATGAAGAGACATGACCGGGGATCCCTTCCATGAGAGAGGGAAGACATTGAAGGGAAATCTTAGGCTATCAGCAGTGCAGCAGGCCTAGAGCACTCCCACTCCATATTAGAATAGGAAGCTATGTTATCACATGGATACTCTACAAATCAGTGACAGCACACAAAGAAATAAAATCACAGTGATTTTATCTAGGAAAAATCAAAAATATACAAGAATGAATATCATTCTGGTTGTATTTGAACAATCCTTTAGTCAAAGGATAAAGAGGTAACTAGAAGTCAGTTTTGCTAAATTTGGAGGACATGGTGAAGGTAGGGAAGAGTTTTGGGTGGTGATGTAAGTCTTTTATAAGAAAGTACTAGAAAAAGATTACTTAAAATTAGACAAATGCCAAGAAATTGTATAACTTTAAGAATGGGCCTCTGGGGATAATAAAGTTTCTAATTTAGCTAAGAGACTATATATATTAATAAGCCATTCAAGTTAATGGTCCCAACCGATATTTCACTTTAGAGCAGTGATTCAACTTCAAACTAGGTAATTTTGGCCAGGGGCTTTTCAGTTCAGAGGTACATTGTAATATTTTCTCCCTGCAATATTCCTCTCTCCTTGTTGAGCAGGCCAGGTTCCATTAAGGACTGCATGGTTAGGAAAGCAGAAACACTCTAGATCTACAGATGTTAGGTAGAGCACTACTGTATGATTCTCTGAAAAGAGGCCTCATGGTCAAATAAGTGTGGGAAATAGGTTTTTAGCTCCCTTTGGAGGTTCACAGAATGTGGTTATAATCAGCCTGAGAAGCCCGGCTAGAGAGAACCTGGGAGGTTCTAGGTCAAGGCTTAAGCACCAGGGTTTTTCTTCGGTTGGATCCAGTATTAGTATAGGTATTACCACTCCCCATCCCAAAAAAGGCAAGCTGACAGTGAGTCAATCACCTACATGCAGGCACTCCAGGAGATGAGGCTTCCTTTCTCTGCTCTAACCCCGGACACCTGGCTTATCAAGTTAGTTTTGTTTAGAGGACTCACACACTTGCTTCATTTTGGAAAGGTAGGCCAAGAACTCATTACCATATTCATCTAGTTTTCTCACAGGAAGGGTGAGATATGACTTGGCAACTCCCTTTTCTAAATTGTTCTTTACTGACTTTTTCCTTATTTATCATCTGACCTTCATCTTGCCTAGTTTCTGGAGCAGCTTTCCTGGTTTTTGTTGCTTTACTCTCAATGCATACCCATCGTGTAGCAGGTCCAATACATGTTTGAATTTAGGGGACTTTAGTCATGCTGTAGCTCCCAGCTTGAGAAGCTCCTAGCCAGATGTGGCTATAGACAGTTGAAATGTGTTTAGTATAAGAATTCTAGTTTAGTTAAGAACAGCTACTCTGTTCAGCTGCTGGAAAACAAGTATGTTCGGAACAATTTGGGTATGTAAATCTAGTTTTACAATATAAATCTCATAAGACCTAAAAATTTAGTATTTCTAGCTAATGTTCAACCTGAAAATTGAGATTTGCTATAAATATACACTGTGTGAAAAAATAAATCTCAAATCTTTGTTATAAGTGAGATTTTAGATGCATTGTTAAATACAATTAAAATGAATTTCATTTACGATTGCTCCGGTGAAGTACAGTTACATTTAAGTTGTTTAATGACCAGGTTAACCACTATCACCACTGCAATCCAAGGCTATTGCTTTTCCCTTTAAAAGGGTTGGTCTTTAGCACATCAGAAGGTAGTCAGTAGTGTCCGAGCTTTGCTTCAGGCATCTAGCTTAGCCACATCTCCCCATCATCAGACAAGCCTCAGATAAACTTTTGTCAAGCTAAATCTGCATACCACTGGAAATTGGTCCCACTGAAGAACTCAGCACAACATGGAGCTAAGAACACAAGTTCTGGAATCAGACTTGAGTTCTTGTTCAAGCTCTCCTATTACTTGACCAAGTGACACTGGATAAGTTATTTGACCTCTCTCCCAAATTCTTGGGGATATTGGGGATGAATGGCCACCTTATCAGGTTTTCAGGCTCAAGAGTGTTAATCAAGCATCTAGGATGGTTTGTCACATGAAAAGCATGTAATATCTGTCAATTGAGTAAGAAAATTTGTTTCCTATTTAAAAGCAGTTTGAAGCAGGGTTGGCCTCACTACAAAGCACCTGTTTAAGAACCAAGATTAACACTATTTACCTTGCTAAAGTGTCAAAGGACCTAGAAATTACTCCCTGAAGATGAGTGAGGAAACCTTACTTAACCAGAATTACTTTCAAAGCCCCAACATGGTAGAGACTACTCCCGGAGTATAACCAACAGTGTTAGTTACTAGAGGGTTCTTCGCACAGGACGTTTACCTTGTGAAGTCACCATGATTCATTCTTCCCCTGTTCTTCTACTAGTCTTAAGAACTACTAAACTAGGAAATTACTTGTCGGTTCTGGTTCAAAAGTAAGCCTCTTGGGAGCAAGGCATTTCCAGTTGACCAATCTGTGATCAGACACCTCCTCTCAGTCATTGTTCTAGACACATTGTTCAAAGTGTGATGCTTGGAATGGGAAGACCAGTGTCACCTGAGAAGTGGTTAGAAATGCAGGTTCTTAAGCCTCAGCCCAGACCTACTTAATCGAACTCTGGCGGTGGGGCCAGGAATCTGTTTTTATCAGCCCTCCTTTGATCCCAACGTACACTACAGTTTGAGAATCAGTCATCTAGGGGACTCATGACTAGCTCTAGACTAGTTCTACTTTAGTTTGATTGATCTTGGGGAAAAGTTTTGTTCTATATTCCTCAAGCTTGTAAAAATCTGCTAAGTCTAAGCTATTTAGTTCTTGTATACACTGCTCAAATTGTCAGCCAACTACGAAATTCTACTGAAATGTTGTTCAGAAGACAGAAAGGCTGGAGTAGAAAGAGGGTTATGTTTTGATACCATCCTGAACTGGAAAGATGAGATGCCAACAGCAGACGAACCCTTTAAATGAGAAACTGGGCACAGGCTGGTAGTGCAATCTGGTTTTATTAATGCATTTAGTCTGAGGAACTCATCTGTTTCCTGATAGCCAAGTAGGACACTAATGAGGCTCCGACAATAAAGGTCCCAGAAAGGCCTGCCACCCAGAGAGATTGGGAGTCTACAGGAGAAGCTGTAGGATGGAGAAGTAGGTTAGTGCACGCTGAAACCAAGTGATTCTATGTCCTGATAAAGACTGGCAATCGCTAACTATAGGGAAAAAAAACAAGCTAGTCGGTTTCTTTTGAGGTTCACATTGATTACATCACTAAGGGCTTAAAAAGTAGGGGTAAGGAAGTAGCTTTGGTTTGACTAGTGGTTCAGGTGCAGGGCTTTGGGTAGCTGGTTAGGCCTCCTCCAACTCACTTGAGTATTTATGGAGCTTTTCTGAAGAGTCCTTTGTGGCCTGGAGTAGAATCATGGGACCCTTGCTAGAAATGCTGGCAGTGCTGTTCTGAAAGCGGATGTCAGAGCTTCGTCTTCCTGTTGGAGAGATGAGAACCAGAGATTTGTTAGAACGTGTTTGCACATGTTGTAGGGGTAGTTAGGAAAAGAGTCTAATACGAAGGCCAGGCCCCATGGTATGTGCAACTCTGCTGGCTGCCTTAAGAAAACCTCATTGTGTTAATACAAATGAGCAAGCCCGAGACTTTGTATCTAACACTTACCTCAGTTTTACCAGAATTTGGGAATGAAGATGATGTTAGACTATCTCCAAACAGCCATCCTTCCCTAAATAGAGGTACGTGAATGATAGCTTATACAATACCAAGACCCTTTCCTACGATACAAAGGTAACTGGTAAGACAGTAACGACAGAGCTCTGTTTGAACCCTATTTCTATTGCCAGTTATGGGACCTTGGAAAGTCTAAAAGTTATTGTTCTTTGAAATTATATACCACTTGAGTTAGGTGTTATGTTTAATACAGTTATGAGAAATACTATGAGTTTCTTTGCCAGAAAGGACTTAAAGCTTCAGGGGTCATGAATTCCACTTAATTCAGAGGTAGACAGGTAAACGTTAGTGGACCAGGGGGAAGCACATGCACATGTGTGCACACACACACACTTTAGGAACATTGAGCCTGACCAACTAGAGCATATACTCAAAGTCCGCAATCATATTCCACCTGCAGATCTCCAGGCTGTGTTGCCAGACCTGCCTTCAAGCAGGTACAGAAGTCTACATTTGTGAACTATCCAGATATAAATAGTTATATCGAGCCATATGTAGGCCATGACCCAGTTTGATGCCTCGCTTAATCAAAATTTATATGTAAAAAGCTAAGGTTGAGAGTTACTTGAGGATTTATAGCTTATATTTAGAAGCCCTGGGATTCTAAGAAGCTAGCTGTATTTCTGTTCACTCCATCATAAAACTACTTTAAGAAGCCTCATTAATAAGATGAATCTTCAGTTTGAGTCATTGGCCCACAGGCTACAAAAGGTTAGCACTGGACTCAAGGTCCATTCAAATCCGTCTTCCAGTGTAGACTACTTGGATACTCACGCCTAGTCACAGGACAGGTTATCATACAGGGTGGTGTCCCAGCAGGCTGGCAGACGGATGCACTGCAGTGCAGATACACCTGGAAGCCAATAGAATTGGGATCATGGTGTAGCCCCACATCATATGGGAAGTCTTCAAACCCACTTTACCTCCCCAGGAAGAGGGTGAAAGTTATCAGAAAGTCTTGATAAACCAAGCTGGTATCACAATAGCACTAAAGAACTCAGTTTAGTTGACACATGTCACTCACGCCATTGGTATCAAGGATTGCTCTAAGGTAGTACCAACAGCCAAAATTAAAGGGCAACCTTGGATGAGGAGTGGTACAATGTGAAAGCAATTCTGAATTGGGGGTGGAGTGTTCAGAGCCCTTCTGAAGAGCATGGAAGGAGGCATCATACCAGTCCCTTGAATGCTCGCTTTGCCACCGAATCCACAAAGCTGAAGGTGAAGATGCTGAAGCGCTGGTAGTGAGAAGGAAATGGCAGATCCAAGGCTTTCTGAACAGGGATCAGTTGGGTCTGATAACTGTCTCCAGTGTAGGGGCATCTAAGCAAAGGTATCCAGCAGTCAAGATGGGCCTCTTTGAGGGACTCTAGCACAGCTGCATGAAAAAACCACTTACCCCTTTACCAGCAAGGGCCACTGAGGCTGATGCAGGGGGTTTGTGCTAGGTGTGGCCCAACACTGATGTAGCATCAGCCCCAGGTAGGGGTCTGTTCTGTGAAGGATGGAGACCTCCACGTAAATGGGATCCTGAAGTAACTTCACCACTGGGTAGTCACTAACGTTGTAGTAGGAGATGTAGTGTTTATCTGTAAGAGGCCAAAATGAGTTGAAGCAGTAAAGACAGAGCTGGGAAGCTCTAGGTTGCTTGAGAAAGACTATCACCCACAAACACCTCTAGCAAGTGTCTTGTTACCAAGGTAGGGTCTTCACACCCAGAAGAGGGACAGGACTTAGATGGGAGGCCAGATGCTCCAGCCAAGAGTGTCCTACCTTTGGCAATCCGAAGTTCTAGAGTGAGGGGTCCAGGCTGGGTCTCAGGAAGGGGTGGTGGGAGAGTAAAAACCTGGACATTAACCGGGAAGGCATTGCTACTTACAGAGTAGCTGCAGCTGACTTGGAACCTGCAGAAAAATAAGATTTTAGCTGGCGAACTTGGGTGAGTGAGCCATGTCACCTTTCAATTTTTAAAGGTTGAGGAACCATTGAGTGCTAGGTGTTGGCAAGTCTGTAAACATGATGGGCATGATTCCTGGTCTTGTGGGAGCTATATTTTAGTTGGAGCGACCAATATGTAAACAAGATAGATGTTTGTGAGGTGGAGATATAAGAATCATACACAAAATAGACATGGCACCGTGAAAAACAAGTGCCTTCTGTAGAGAGGGTCGTCAGGGAAGACATTGCAGGGATTGACGTGAAGGAAGATGAAAAGCAGTACCTGAGAAGTAGAGGAGGAAGAGGAACAGTTGACAAAGAACAAAGAGAGGCATGCAGAATTTGAGGTTCTTTGAAGAGCCTACAGAAGGACAATCTAGGGTTGGGGAAATAGCAAGTGAGGACTTGACAGTGTCAGGTGAGATCAGACTGAAAAGCAAGTAGGAGCTGTTTCACTCAGGGTCCTGTAGGTTACGCTCATGATGTTAAGTGATGGAAAGACAATGAGAAAGCTTTAAAAATGCTATCTGATCAAGGCTTTAAAGGGATTCTTTTTGCTACAGGATGGACTATGGAGGTAGAAGGAAGAAGGCCAAAATGAGAAAGAGGAAACTCAGTTAAATCAAATAGAAGTCTAGGTAAGTTTGAGGCTTAGGTCAAGTTGGTGGCAGCAATTCAGGGAGACTTGGCCAAATACTGGTCAGCAAGTTGGACAACCAAGGTGGTAGACAGGTTCTTTCATCATGAGGAAATGTTCTTTTATGGACTCAGGGCTTACCCTAGAGCTCTTGCTTTATGGAGGAAGGGAAGTCATTCTGGTTAAGCAGGATCAGGATAACTAAGAACTTTACCTGAAGATACTGTCCCGGGTGATGGAACCATGGCTCCAAGTTCTCACATCCCTAGTGGCAACCAGCTCATTTTCATACACTGCTTGGTCTCCAGTGACCTATGAGTGGGTAAAAAAAGTCTGGTCAATCCTGCTAGCCAGATGCTGCTTCGCTCACAACTGGCTTTGACCTAGAACTCAGCAATGCTACCCTATCATAGCTTGCATTTTCTGCTCTATGAGCAGAGGCAACGACACTACATTGACTAACCCGGGAAGTTATCACTTCACCTTACTTTGGGACAAAGGAACAGGAAAGGGCTTTGAGTACTCATCTGACACAGCCAGGAGCACCAATCTTAGCTGGCCTCCCTGCTTGTTTCCCAGGGCAGTGTGGTAGGAGGAACCCGTTGCTTGTTCTTCTCTTCCAGGCTTGGTGCAAGTGCTAGCCCCTTGCTGGAGCACAGCTGTGAGAGTCTTAGCCAAACGCCCAGGGGAGCTTTCAGCTTTCTCAGTGATGAAGCACTTTTTAGTCCTAGAGACTATCCTACACGCCAAGCAGTGTATCCTGCACGGCTTAAGATATTCCAGCTCTCCCACTAGTCGCTAGGACATTCCTGCCCAACTTCTAAAGTCAGGAACAGAGCCCACAGTCGATTGTTCTCACCCGTCTTGTGGTACCACAGGAAGTAAATGGAAACCGGAAGAGGGCAAAGGCATGTGTGGCCATCACAGGGTTACATTCACTGTCATTCCTGAAGGCCAAGTGTACAGAACTCAAGAGCAACGGGGGTGAGGTCACATTCCGAGACACGGCGATGGAGAAGTGGCCATCCTGGGTACAACGCGAGGTCACTGAAACACCAGAGTGGTTGTGCTGAAGGCAGGTCATCTCCTCTGTTATTGAGCCAGCTAGACAAAAGTCTAATGATTTGGCTACTTTCGATCCCTCCCTCTGATAAGTTGGCATCCCCAGCTAATGACCTCAGTGCAAGTTCAGCTGTCCAGAGCTTCATCAAGGCTCGGGATGAGCACCTGGGCTTGAATCTTACCTCCGCCACTTATTGTGAGACCTCAAGCAAAGCTTAATCTCCTTGCTTCAGCTTTAGCGTCTGTAAAATGGGGATGGCAGTACCTGCTTTGTTTTAACTTATCAGTTAGAGTTCAGAGCTTAGCATAGGATATGGCATATACAAACTCAGTGAGTGTCTTTTGCATTAGAAAACTTAGAGCATGATTTAGGACATATAGAAAGTAACGTTTGTGAAATAAGGCTCTCTAGATACTTGATCAGACTATCAGTCACCAGTGAGGCTTTTCCTTGGGAATAGGTTAATTTTCTGTCAGTTAGCTAGTATCTTGCACGTAGATTTAGCTTCTTGAATTCATTGAATGTTATTTGCTTTGTGTTTGGTTTCTAGGACAATAGGCAATAGAAGTCTCTAGAAAGCTCCTTTGGTCATCTTTAGTATTTGCCTGAGGTGGGGCGGGTGGGGAGATCCCCCTCCCTCCAGGTTTAGTGGCAAGTAATTGGAACTTTTCTGGTTTCAAAGATGCCTTAACTCACCCGTGTTTCCATAGTAACAGGAATTCACCTCCGAGTTGTAGCAGCAGCCTCGCTCCTTGCAGTCTCCTTGAGTGACAGGTGAAGGAGCACATGTCAGTCTGTCCCACACTGGGACAGAGTCACACAGGTCAGCACTTGGAGCATTCAGGGCTAGATTTTAGAGGAGAGAAATCAAGCTAGGTAAAAATCTTTGGCCTTAAAAAGGACCGTTTTGTTAGAAAGCATCAAAATTCCCATATAGATCTAGAGATTAGAATAGATATATCCATATTGTATACTAGAGATTAAGTCTCAGGAAGTAACCATTAAATCACTCTGAAGAGTCCCCTAAAGTCAGTACTTTTTGAAAGAAGAGACTATCAGCAAGATCAGTAGAAGCAGTGGGGCCCTTTCCTCTTTCCTTCCAGTAGAGTCCTTCCTTCTGTTCTCTAGAGGCGCTCCTCAGTCTTCTGAGCTACAAGTTCCCTGGGGATCTTTTTGAAATGGAGATTCTGGTTCAGTAGGTCTGGGGTGGGGCCTGTGATTCTGTATTTGTCAGTGGTATCCCTCTGGGTTATCTTTTGAGCAGCAAGGCAGATGAGAAGAGTGATTTACAAGTTTGAGTCTGCTATGACTTTGAGGCAGGGCTCTCGCTCACAAGACAAGATTTGCTAAGGTTGAGTAGGCCTCCTACTTCCTACTAATTCCCCAGTTAGGTGATCAAGTAGCCCCCAACTGAAAGGGCTGAGCTCTAAGTGCATGGTCTGCTTCTTGGAGGCATTTGCCAAGTCTCCTTGATAGCTTCAGCTTCCTTCTCTACCCTTCTCAAGACCGAGGAGTTCCTGGTCCCCGGCTAATTCTTGTTTGAATCCCAGCTCTGCCACCCACCAGTGAGGGGTCCTTGGTCAAGCTCACTGCTGGGGAGCAGCAATAATTCTTACAGCACTGGGTTAACACTAGAGAGGAAGCACTCCCCACTGTGCCTTTGCACTGAGTAATCTCTCAGGCATAAGAGTAATCTCTAAGGTTGGCCTGTGGAGGTGAGAGTTGGAAGATAATCCTTCATGAGTATCAGCTGTCACTACACAGAGCCGGTAGGGGAGGCCCAAGGGCACTTTCCAGGCAACTCTACACCATTCAGAACCTGAACGTTTTCAGCCCTTACCTAGAAAATCCATAGGACACTCGAGCAGCTTCATCTTTGTAACTGTCCTGTGTCCAGCTGCATCTGTTCTTTCAACTCCTACCGGCATGATGTAGTGGGAGTCCTGGAGAGACAGGCCCTGAGGAGTCAACCTGGATGTAGCCTGAGGTGTCTCAGTGTTCCTCGTGATTGCGTTATACTCACCCACTGGGTGACATAGCAGCTACTGTAGGATGCTTCTAACACCACGGAGCTGCCTGGGTCCTCCCTCACCCAGGTGCCACAGTCCGAGTCATTCTGCAGCCTGCGGGGCATCCCACGGTTGTCTGGGCGGGAGTGGGGAGAGGCAAAAGCACAAGTGGTCAGTCACCAAGGTCAGCAGGGCTGGGAAAGGACAGCTCACTTTGCCATTAGACCCAAGGGACGGCTGCGAAGAGAGAGGAGTAAGAGGGGAAGCAGCTGCAGAAATGAAGTTATATTTTAGATGATTCCTCTGGAGAGAGAAGCTGCGGAGTTTACCAAAGGGGGAAAATGTCAGGACCAGCAGCCAGAGGGCAGCTTTAGGCAGTGGAGGAAACATACCACTGCCTGGCTAAACCAGGTGAGTCGTCAAACTTACCCCAAGCGATTAGTGCGGGAGGAGTCGCTGTCTCCTGGCTGAGGTTCACAGTGAACTGAAAGCTCCGTAGCCCACAGTGGAGTACACCGGGATAAGCTGGTGCCTCCAGTTCACGCTGACCGCCCAGAGCAAGAGATAAGGAAAAACAGAGCAAGACGGACTGCAGTAGCCACATGGTGCCAGTAGAAGCCTCTGCTGGCAGAGTCCTACGCTTCCCTTCTCAAGAGCCAGCACTCCCTGTGCTCCAGGAGGTTTCCTTATATATGGAAGGAAAGCTGGTGTCAGGTGCACATCTGTGTAACACGCAGGTGGGACTCCTTTGGAAAGGGCGATTCCTCCAGCTTCATTCACTTTAGGCCACAGTCTGCAGCTGCGTCTCTTTAAACGTTGCAATCCAGGTGGCCTTCAGAGTCCAGGAAAAATGTGGTGCCTTTCAGCTAAAAGAGGCTTCCTCAAGATTGCTCAGGGTAGCACTTATTTTACTAGCTTTGTGACCTCAGAAGAGCTTCCTCCAGAATCTTGCATAATTGGGTGTGAATCTCAGCTCTGCCACTTATGAGTTATGTGATCTGGGTAAGTGATCGCCTCGCAGAATCTGTTTTCTCATCTGTAAGTTGGGCATATTATCTCCTGGCAGGAGTGTTCTGGGGGATTCAGTGAGATGTTCTACGTCAACTCTCTGGCACAGTGCTTTGCCAAACAGAGAGTGCTCTGTCAACATTGTCGGGGACTTCAAGGAGCCTTGTCATTTTCTCCACTGGTTCTAAACTTTCAGAAGAAGTCACTGCACAATTGCAGCCTGGCTTGTGTGGGGACCTGGAAATGGCCACCCCAAGATATGTCTCTTTGGCATGAGGATTATTTGAGGCTGGTTTCTTTGCAGACAGGAAAGCAACTGAAAAGTAGAATTAACTTACCCTTTGTAAGAGACATTTACATTGTAAAGGAACTCTCCATCTGTAAAGATATCTCTAGAAACTCTTAATCAGTGGGGAAGGCAAGGACTTAAATCTGCATTTGTTTATTGTGCTTGTCTGGTAACCTCCTGTAACTGACTTCCCTCCGCCTCCCAACGGGCATTTCCTTCAGGATTAAGTATCTTTCCTTAGGCTAGGAACTGATTGCTGCACTCACCTGTGACCACCCGGTTCAAGACAATAGACTTGCCTCCTGCTATGCCCTCCAAGATAGCAGACCTCTATCTGCTGTGTCCATCAAGCACTGTGCCGACAGGGCAATCTTGTGACTATTGTGGGAGGGACATTTCAATCGTATGTGAAACATCCTGTTTGGGGGTATATAACCACTCTGTATACCCCACTTCTTCGGTGCCCTTTCTTCCTTCGGGAAGAAAGGCCCCAAGCCATGGTCCTCATAAAGCTTTGTTTAATTTTCTCTTGCTATTCTGTCTCATGTGAGTTTAAGTCGTTCTCCAGCCAGACGAACCCACTTTGGATAGAGGAAATGTCTTCCTCCCCTACACTTGAAATCCCAGAAAAA